GAAGCCTGGTTCAGTGGCTACTGAGGGAGTCCTGGACTAGGGGGTGTCCGGATAGCCGGACTATCATCATCGGCCGGACTCCAAGACTATGAAGATACAAGATTGAAGACTTCGTCCCGTGTCCGGATGGGACTTTCCTTGACGTGGAAGGCAAGCTTGGCGATACGGATATGTAGATCTCCTACCATTGTAACCGACTCTGTGTAACCCTAGCCCTCTCCGGTGTCTATATAAACCGGAGGGTTTTAGTCCATAGGACAAACAACCATTACAACAATCATACCATAGGCTAGCTTCTAGGGTTTAGCCTCCTTGATCTCGTGGTAGATCCACTCTTGTACTACCCATATCATCAATATCAATCAAGCAGGAGTAGGGTTTTACCTTCATTGAGAGGGCCCGAACCTGGGTAACAACATCGTGTCCCTTGTCTCCTGTTACCATCCGCCTAGACTCACAGTTCGGGACCCCCTACCCGAGATCCGCCGGTTTTGACACCGACAACGGGCGATGAGGACATGGGATGAGCGGCACCACCGCTGTCCGGCCGCGGAGACCTGACCGAACAGAACTAGCGGAAGACATGGTGAAGTCGTCGTCGGGGGCGAGGACGATGGGCACGCGACGTCGATGACAGGATGGGGCGTGCGGCGAATAGGGATTTGAAGGGGGAGAATTGGGGATTTATAGCTGGCCGTTTTTTTTTGCAAATACGCCCTCCCGCAATAACATAAATCCTCTGCCCACCTACGTGGAGCTCGTGGAATGGTCAAATATGCGGCGTACGAGCAGTCTATGGTGCACAGTAACCATATTTTCACGTCACATCGTACACAGTGATCATATTGCGTGAGTTTCTGTGTACAGTGATCAAAATGACGGCGGGCGCAAGTTGAAGTACCGCTAATGAATTTTACTCAAAGAAAAAAACAAGAACTCGTGTTGTATACGCACATCATCCGCTCCGCGTACCTTATCCGCCTCGATGTCCTGATCCAAAACCGCGTGCGGGTCCCCGCGGCCGTCGCCCACCGTGTACGATACCTTTCTCCCCGCTCGCGCGCGCCCGACAACGCAACCAAAAAGAACTCGTTCCAAATCTCCGGCCTCCGTCCCACAACCCACACCCGGCGAGAATCCCCACGCCAGCGATCCCCGCGCCGCCTTCCCCGCGGCGCCGCGGATCCAACGAGGTAATTCACGGCGCGTCACCGCGCGCGGGCCTCGCCTCCTCCTCCTCCTCCATCTGCCCCCCTTCCTCGCGACCGCTTCTCTCGCGGCCTCCACCTCTCTCTCTCTCTCTCTCCCCCTCCCGTGGATCTCGGTCCGGATTGTGCCGATCCCTCCCGCGCACGAGCGGCCCTCCCGTGGTCTCTTGGCGTCCCGCCGCCGTCGTCGCTGGCTCCCGTCCGCCACGGATTAGGCAGGTGCGCTGTCCGAACCGCCCGTCGTGCTTCTTAAGAGACTCGGCGTCTGCCTGGTCGGTTCGGGCATTGCGGCGTTGACAGCCAGCTGGATTCCTGGCTTGGATACTTATTAGATGTGACGCCGTAGAGCGCGCCTGGATTTGCCTGCATTGGGCGTTGTCAGGTGTCTGCCCTGTCGAAGGCCTCGAGTAATTATCTTACAGATCTGCCTCGATTAGGTCCGTTCCTTTGGCGGACATGCTGCTTTTAGTTGATTTGGGTTTGTGTAATGTGGTTGTGGTCCTTGAATCTCAATGTCTAATGGCATGATGCTGCATTGCTCTGGGGGATTCCTTCCATAGTTGTGTTTCTAGTGGGCTATGCATTGTATCCAAAAATTTAAACTAGTGGTCTTGCTTCATTTTATTCTTGCTTTCAGTTAATGCTGGAAACCATTCTCCTGCTTTAATTGTTAAGTTCCTGTTATGTCGTACTTCTCGGGATATGCTGACGTGGACAATTTTTTGAATTTTGTTGGTGCAGGCATTTGCCAGTGTTTGTGGTTGTAATTTGTGGTAAAGTCTGAGTAATCAACTTTAATCAGACATTCTTGAATATGGTATCAGTGAATGTTGGGTTAGTACATTATGTATTGGACCATATATATGGAACTCTCCTTCATCGCACGAAATTAGGAACACCATTTTTCTCAAAGGGATGGGGAGGTACCAAACTTGATTTGTTAGAGAGGATGGTGAAGCAGCTTTTCCCCGAAGCACCTTGCCAGAACTGGCCACCAACTGCTGTGCAGCCTAAATGGAAAACAGTTTGGGAGACAAAGAACTCTTGTCTTCGAGAGGGTGTTTTCCGGACAACATGTGATGAGAGACTCATTGATGCATTGCCTCCTGAGAGCCACAATGCAAGAGTCGCTTTTCTTACACCCAAGGATGTCTCACCAGAGAAGATGGCTTGCGTGGTCCATCTGGCAGGTACAAACTTTGTAACTCGATCTTACTCTATCATGGTGTGCCATTATCATCTAGTTAGATAAATCTTCTTCATCTTTGAATTAATGTTTGGCGGGATCTATAAACCGGTGTATATATTCCTATAGGCCTTTGACATTTAGATATTACTGGTTGAACGGATCAATGGTATTTTATGCCTATGTAGTTTGGTGACATTTAGCTTTGTAAAAAAAAAAATATCCGGAAAACGTGAGAGCTTTGCGTGTTGATTCATTTAGCTTTGTCGCCTCATTTCAGACCAGAATCAGTAGGCTTCTAAAATGCAGCAATTCAACTTTCCATCTACTATTTGAATAAAATGGTGAGAGTTTTAGAATTTCTGGTTTCATAATGTAACGTGTTTTCCACTAACAAGCATGATTGTGTTGATGCTATGTTTTTCTTGAAAGTTCTCACTACGATTGTTTTCTTATTACCTGAGATGATCTCCAGTTCTCCCCCCTTTTAACCAGGGACCCACATTTAGTGAATCGAGTTAAGACTTTCTTCAATATTTTAGGCACCGGTGATCACTCATTTGAGAGAAGGCTCCGGCTTGGTGGACCTCTTTTGAAGGACAATATTGCAACCATGGTTCTTGAGAGGTGAGGTTTGTACAATAGGGGTACCTTGCATTTTTGTCGATTCTCAATCTTCCTGGCAAGAACTGATATCTCAAATGAAATGCAGCCCCTATTATGGACAACGACGTCCTAGCATGCAGCATGGGGCCAAGCTTCAATGTGTGAGTGACTTGCTACTCTTAGGAAAAGCCACTATTGATGAAGCTCGCAGCCTCTTATACTGGTTGCAGGCTGAGGCTGGTTATGGCAAGATGGGCATATGTGGGCTCAGCATGGGTATGTACTTCTCTCATTAAAAAAGGAGTCCTTGCTTGTCTCCATTATTTTGTCTTAGTTTCATTAGAAAAAATGTCATATGAAAATATTAGTATTGTGTTTATTTCAAGAACTTTATTCTGAGACCATATAGGAATTCCTTATTTATGAAATATTTTGCCAGTTGTTTTCATAAGCATTATTTGTTAATAACAGGCGGTGTACATGCTGCAATGGTTGGATCCTTGCATCCTACGCCAATTGCCACACTACCATTTCTTGCTCCACATTCTGCTGTGGTACCTTTCTGTGAAGGACTTTACAGACATGCCACAGCTTGGGAAGCTCTGAGAGAAGATGCAGCAGCATTAGCTAAAGATGCAACTTCTTTGACCGAAGATGCGGCATCCGGAATCACCATTGAGCAAGTAAAAGACAGATTACGGTCAGTGCTGTCTCTGACGGACGTCACTCGATTTCCCCTACCAAAGAATCCACAGGCTGTCATTTTTGTTGGTGCGACGGTTAGTGCCACTCACCTGTTTTGTACCATATTATATATATATATATATATATATATATATATATATATATATATATATATATATATATAACGCCACCTGGGTCATCTTCTTTCAACCTGCTAGGTAGATTTCTTACAGAGTACCATCTCACAATCAGCTTGCATTATTTACAGCGCCTAAAAAGTGATAATATATATGTTTTCTGCATCAGTTGTGTTGTAGCATGAGGGTTATCCGAGCTGATACATTCAGTGATCATCCACACCTCTGTTCATTAGCTTGATTCTGTAATCTGTGTTCTGTAGTGTTGGGTGAAACCTTTAGTTAATATCAGAATGTGTACTATTGAAGCTTGGTTCCAGTCTAAAGCCATGTATGTTCTTGTTTCAGGATGACGGTTATATTCCTAGACACTCGGTGATGGAGCTCCAGAAGGCATGGCCGGGCTCAGAAGTCCGGTGGGTGACGGGAGGCCATGTGTCCTCTTTTTTACTCCACAACGACTCGTTTCGCAAGGCCATCGTGGATGCCCTTGACAGATTATAACAGGGCGATTCTTGTGTACCCATGGTCAGGGATACACACCAATTGAACTCTGCAAGCTCATGACGGATTGCATCTCTTGTTGTATTTTCTTTTATAAGAAGAGCCGTGATATGGCACATTAGTTGTTGTAACTTAATTAAGAGTTTGGATTAAACAAGTGGGAGAATGAGGGGCAGTGAGTATCAAAATTAGTGGAGATGTTGGCCCATTGGCTGTAGATCACATTTGTAACACAAATACAGTGACTTGTTGATTTTTTAACTGGCAATAAGATGATTCACAATGCTGAGAAGCAGAGTCAGTCTAGCATAGCAAGCACACACATTACAGTATGAATGTCAGTTCTTATTTTTATACTGCCGAATTGTCAGCTGCACGTTAACACTTACTCTTTATATACGTATATACACAATTACCAGAAGTAACCACCAACCACTTGTCGAAGGAGCAAGAAATGGATCATCCATCATCTGATGACCTCTACGTGAAAACCTAATTGTCTTTTCTAATACGTACTCCCTCCGTCCGGAAATACTTGTCATTGAAATAGATGTATCTAGATGTATTTTAGTTCTAAATACATCCATTTTGATGATAAGTATTTCCGGATGGAGGGAGTATGTTGCAGTATATGCCTAGCTAGCTAGCCGGCTAGGTGACGATGTAGGCATGATTTTATGGATGGAACAACCGGGCACCCGCGCCGGGCGGGTTGGGCTGGTCCTGCCGCGGCCGCGCCAGCCAGAGGGAGCTGAGCGCGCGGAGGCGCTGGGAGTAGTCGGCGACGGCGAGGAAGCACCGCGCCGCCTGCCGCGCCGTCAGCACCTGCGGCAGCCTGTGCAGCGTCTGCAGCCTCAACGCGTCTGCCTGCATCATCACATCACATCACATAACAAACGAAACGAAACAGTTATCAGCTGCACTGACTGAGCGCGCGTAAATCACTCGTGTAGGCGCGGTCTAATCATCACCTGTCTGACGAAGGCTTCGAGGGAGGAGAGGTTGGAGATGGCGAGCGACATGTGGGCCATGTAGGCGGCCGTGTCGGGGTAGGGGGAGATGAGCGCGTCGGAGGAGACGGTGTCGGAGAGGGAGCGGTACGTGGCCTGGAGCTCACGGTCCAGAGCCTCCTCGCGCTCCTGCGCCCATCGCTGCACGTCGTACATGCCCGCCGCCTGTTGCTCCGTGAGTGGCTCCATATGCCGCGCAATAACCTGCATTTTATTTCCCATTATAATCTACGACCTCCATTCCTAAATATATGACGTTTTCGCAGTTTAAATATTTAGGAATGGAGGCAGTAGATGTGTTGGTCTGATAAAATTACTAGCAATATGCCCGTGCGTTACAATGTTCACAAACATGAAAGAAAACACTCTTGTTTTGATATACATATATATCACTAAAAATATATTACTTTTCACTTAAAATATATTTCTCTGGCTGTTTTGATGAGGTGAGAGAGGGATGTGGTTGCTTATAAGATAATAAGGGGTGTTCTGCAAATGGGAGCAGAGAAGTTGGCTATTGTTGCAAAAATGCCACAACTTACCTCCCAACCGTTAGATGCAGATCTAATGGTCAGAAATGACGGATGGCAGACGCACCATCATCACCAATTGAGCATTTTATAGAAGTAGAGATATTACGACAAGGTTCACCGACAACTGCATTGATCTGTTCAACTTTTTGTACACTAACGTGCCAAAATTGGAGAAGTACCCCCCTCCCTCTTCTATTTCTTTCTACTCCATATTAGGTTTGTCTTAAGTCAATTTTTTGGCTAAATTTATATATATTAAAAATATTAACATCCACAATGCCAAATATCTGCAATATAAAAGTATATTCCATGATGGTTCTAAAGATATTGATTTGGTATTGTGAATGTTGGTACTTTTTTTCTGTAAAGTTGGTCAAACTTCAAACAACTAAACTTGAAAATAACTTAATATGCGTGAAGTTCAAAAAGTTGAGGGAATATTATTATTTTTGCAGGGAAAAGGAAATATCATTAACTACGGAGAGAATTACATTCCCCGCCATGCCTCGGCGAGGGATAATTGCTAAGCCAAACAACGGTGCAGCTATGATAACACCTTAATTGAGAAAGTAATGCTAATAATGTTTTTTCGGACTAATAATCCTCTAATCTTGATATCTCATTCTACAAAATTATCTCAAATCTCATGAACCCTACAAGCAAATTGGGACCTGTCTAGGGAAGTCTCTGAAATCATTGTCACAACCTCTTGGATGTCTGATATGCATCATTAGTTCAACTACAAACGTATGTCTAAATAGTACGATCCAAATTTGCATTTGTGTCAAAGTTATTTTTCCTTCCTATTATCTTGAGTTTGTCACCCATGCAATTTATCCGAGGTATGAATTCATGCTCGCAGTTCATCGAAAAGTCTGAACTGATGGAGATCCCTCACATATAGGATACTCTAGGTCTTAGACATGTGATCAACATAGGCTGCGCCTGTTTTTATTTAATATATTTTTTTGTTGAGTATTGAATGCTTGACTCTAGGCTCTGATGTCAAAATGTTTTTTTATGCTTTAGTTAGTTTGGATAGTTTGAACTATAGGGGAAAGATGAATAATATAGTTTACGTTTGATACTCCCTCTACTTCATAATGTAGTGCGTATTTTTCTAAAGTCAAACCTCATAATTTTTGACTAAATTTATAGGAAAAAATATTTACATCTAGAATGTCAAACACACATCATTAGATTCATCATAAGATGCACTTCTCTCCGTCGAGTGTGGACATGCTGAACCCATGGGCATATGAACCCACTTTTAACAAATGCATTTTAAAATTCCAAAAAATTCAAAAGAAAATTCCACGCAAACATCTTCGCGATATGTGTGTGTGGCACAAAGTTTAGTAAGAAAAATCCCTTTTGGTTTTGCCTCTGCAAAAAGACAAAATTTAGTGCTTCTAAATAGCGTTACATGACACTTTTTTTGCCTTTTTTGCATAGGCTAAAGAAAAAAAAGTTGCTTTTCCGTGAAATTTTCTGGGTACACATAGAATGTGAAGATGCATGCGTGAGATTTTTTCAGATTTTTTGACATTTAAAAATAAATTTTCCAAAGTGGATTCATCCATTGCCTCCGTCCCATAATATAACAGCGTTTAGACACTACACTAGTGTAAAAAAGCTTTAATATTATGAAGTATGGGACGGAGGGAGTAGTTTTATATTTTATATATTTAGTATTGTAGATACTAGATATAAATAGTTTTTTCTATAAGCTTGGTCAATGCTTAAAAAGTTTGATTTCTCAAAATATTTGTACGCACTACGTTAACGGACGGAGTACTGTGTAGTACTCCCTCCATTTCTATTTACTCTGCATATTAAAGTTGACTGAAGTCAAACTTCGTAAAGTTTGACCAAGTTTATAGGAAAGAATATAAATATTTACGATAGCAAATCTATATGATGCGAAAGTACGTTCAATAATGAATCTAATGGTATTGATTTGTAATTGTACATGTTAATATTTTTGTTTATAAACTTTGTCAAAGTTTATAAAGTTTGACTTTGACCAAAGCTAATATGGGGAGTAAATAAAAATCAAGGGAGTATGTTGCTGCATTAATATCCCGTTCCATCTAGAAGCTAGCCAACCCAATACACGTCGACCTCCCATATCTAACCTCCCTCCTTTACCAAGTCTCGCGGCCAAGTACGCTTTCTTCCAGCACAGAAATAGCAATCATAGGCGTCGATCGGTCTCTACTGATTAATCAACCTTAGCCAAAGCCCAAAGACTTGTGAAGGCCCGACTGTTCCATCAACTGGGACCTCTCACCTACTTAAGATTAGCTAGTGATAGGCGATAGCTAGCTAATCCATCATATATACGTCTCTCTCTACCTAATCTTTTGAAGAGCTGCATGCCTTCTCCGGTCTCTTCACCTTAATCATCAAAATAATAATACTAGCTAGTAGCACTTGTTCATCATGCTTTCTATCTGCTTGATGCGATATTTTGAGTTAATAAAAAAGTCCTTTATTTCATAAAAAAGTACTTTATTTTCAAAAAAAGCTAATAACACTTGCATATCCTCAACTAATCTGTCTCTTAATCATGATCGGCCAGCTTATATGTCATGCATGCACTACAGCTGTACTCTCAATTCCCATGCAAAAAAAAAAATGTACGTACCTTGATGAGGTCCGAGGGGCGGGAGCCGCCAATCCAGATGAAGCAGCGCTCGGCGGCGGGCAGCCACATCCCGGAGACGAGGTGGAACACGTCGGCCCTGGCCACGGCGGACTTGAGCTCCGCCAGCACCACGTGGTGCGCCGCCGCGGCGTCGATGAGCTGCCGCAGCAGCTGTTCGCCGTCCGTCGCCGCCGCGTCGTGCTCCACCCCCTCCGCGTCCACCGCTGCCCGCAGGTGCCGCATCATCCTGTCGTGCTCGTCCACCCACCTCGCGTACTCCCCGTCGAACCATGCCGCCTCTGCTAATTCATTTTATTTATGGAATTATTTATGTTTGCCATGCACGTACGAGAGAGATCACATATTGTTACGAAAAACCTGGAAGTATTGAGCGGAAGGAAATATATTTATGTGTGACGGCATATACTCCCTCCGTCCCATAATATAACAACGTTTTTGACACTACCCCATAATATAACAACGTTTTTGATACTAGTGTAGTGTCAAAAACGTTCTTATATTATGAAACGGAGGGAGTACTATATATATGAACCGAACAGCTTAGGGTTTAGTTCCATGCATGCCTGGGCTTAGTCCTCCAATGCCAGCTCCACCACCCAAGATTGCACCCTTAGTCAAAGAGAAGATGTATGAAAAAAAATAGTTAGGCGGTGATAGAAAAAGGGTGCAATTAGGACATAACTTAATTATAGATACCCAGCTTAATTCTCGAGCCAATATCTTAGACTGGATGCATGACTACAGGGTTTAGATCCGTACTTTTAGTATTGGTGTATATTAAGTTAAGATGTTAGAACTATTAGTGGTTATACTAGAATTTCATTTACCTGGTTGGAAGTTGGCTTTGATACTTTTAGATTGGATACATACTTCGTCTTAAACCTCATGTACTCTTGCCACCCTTCGGACGTCTTCAAGTTTTCAGGTACGAGATAGATCTTTCACACCATAGTGATGGCTATTTGCGCATACAAACCTAAACTTACGGATGTAGGTTACGGATCCCACCCACTAGTCTCCCCTCCGGCCCTCCCCCCAAATTTCACTAGACTGCCCTCCCTCCCCCGCCCCCCTATTTCCAATCAAACTTTGTCATGTCAGCTTGAAGATTTATTGTTGTAGGTTGGGTCTGTAGGTGTAGCATCTCTCTTATACATATTTGCTTCACAACTGTTGCGTACGCTTCTAAGGCCTTGTTTGTTTCATCTTTGGGAGAGGTAGTTTTAGACTAGGAAGCTAAATTGGAAACAAACATCTATTTTAGAACAGCCATGGAATCACAAATTAAGTGATACGTGTTATTTCCAGTGTAACAGGTCAAAGCACGTCCCGATGTACTTCACAACCACAGTTGTTCCCATCCCCATGCCCTTGGCATTTGGTTGTAATTATGTCATAAATGCCACCACATTCACGACATATCTCTCCCTTCGCCCCCTCCTCCTGAAATAATGCGTTTTCATTAGCCGTGTGCTTCATAGTTGTGTTGCCAAACAACTGACCTTCGCTTGAGCAGCTTCCTCAGCACAATAGCTTTGCCAGCACAACAAGTCCACATCTGAATATGTTGAAGCTGTAGCCCAAACAAACAGGGCCTAAAGCCAACTCCCCAAAACCGCATCTTCCCTCCATTGTCTACCGTTCTCCATTGTCGTTGATAATCCATCGACAAGGTGGCAGCTGCGCTCCTAGGCCCTAGCCCATCATTAACAATTGTGAAGCCCCACTCCAGCATTTCGTCTGTCAGGTGCTGAAAGCATTGCTGATCTATTGCCCATCGGAAACCACGATCCTAAGCCCATCTGACATGGCCACACATATTATTTGTACCTAAGCTGGCGTGCGTGTGTCTTAGTAATAATCAAGGTATTTTTAGAATGTTCACAATCATTGAGTTGATGTCGAGTTGCTTGTGCCGCCACCACCTTATCTTTGATCTCCATTTGTTGCCGCTATATCCACCATTGTACATATCCGTAGATTTGAAAACCATATAGTAGCCATCGTCCTTACAAACTTCGTCTAGTGTCCTCCTTATACTCATATGCCAAACTAGTATATTTAGTACCATCGCCTCTCATGGTTATTCTTTCGTCCCACTCCAACCCCACCTGAAATCTAAGGTCAAATCTCTGTGGAACCTCAGTTGTACCTTTGGTGAAATTTGACCCTAACACATGCACACAACCACCTCGAGATTTCCCTATAACTTGTATATTGTTGTAATTTAAAAAAATTGGAAAAATTATACTGCTGGGCCAACACCATGGACAACGCAATTGATATAAAGGTTGAAAGTCGGACGTCTTGGGGTATAGTTTTTAGAAATCTTCTTCTGGCCGCTGCTACATGATAGAGTGAATACCAGAAATTTGCTATGCCGCAAAACCATGTATCTTGACAGTTACGATTGTGCCCTCTGTGTTGAAGGTCCAAGGAAACATCAATCCACCTCTTCTTGAACTGTAATCTCAATCTCCATTGATGGAAGCATATTACCCCTTTCAAGAACAGAGGTATTTTAACTTTTGATGGATTCAGATTGCCTGTGCTAAATTGCCAAAGGACATTGCCCTAGACATCATCATCATGGCAATGTTGGGCTTCTTGGTCAGCCAGGAATAACAATATTGTTAGGTCAGCACCTCCACATCATCAAGGATGGAACCGGTATTTGAAAGAGGGCCTTTGGACAGTGCAACTCATGGCAAAACCAGATAAAGCAGACAAGATCAAAGATTGGGTTGAACTACACTTGTAAATGATGTATTTTAATTTCCCTATAGAGGGTGTTGGTTGATTTTACATGTACTGGACCTCTGTAATTTAACTTTTTATTTTCTAATATAATACTGTAGAACAATTGTTCTACGGTTTCAGGTCAATTTTTTTTCATATAGTGATTCATATCACGATCTATTTATTATCTTTGTACCTTTCCCTTTTCGATTTCCCCCCGGGAATAGAGAATATGCATACCTGAGCGCTGCATCTTTGCATCTCCTGCTCCATATGTGACAGCCTGACCCTACTCGTCTCCAAATTTTGAATGTAAGCCTACACATGCGCAAAAGACAAACAGAAAACCAATCATATCCAATCACAAGTCTACAAGAAGCGTACTTGTCATGCAGAAATGTGGAAACCTTTGGGGCCCTAGCGAGCTTGACAGTACGCACAACTTTTAGGTGGTAGTAGCAGGTTAACTTCAACGTCGACCCCAATTCTACACACCAAACAATGCGGACTGCCAAACCACTACGTGTTTTAACTTGGGACTTGTCAGGTTATTGCAGTGGTTAACCAGGTTAACCAACCATACATACCTTCTTCCTAAGCCTGCTCTTCCTCGCGGCCTCCCTGTTCTGCGCGAGCCTCCTCAGTGTCTTGGCGTCCGGCGTCCTGGGGCCCTCGTGCTCTGACGTCGACGGCGTGCCAGCGCCGCCGCTTCCGCTTCCTTCCCTCTGAAATGGTAGCGACATCACAACTCACGACACAGAGATGTCCCGAGAAGTGTGCATGTGTAGAATTGTTAGGGAGCTAACCTTGACGGCTGCCTTGCCGCCCGGTGCCGTCATGGCGGACTGCTTGGACGGCGGACGTTGCGGCTTTAAATTAGAACTCGCGGCGATGATGTTCGACGTCGAGGTGGCGGCCTTCGGGGAAGGCTCGGCGACGACGTGCATCGGCCGAGAAGGGAAGATGTTGAGAGTTTCTGCATGCACACGTGAAGAGAAGTCTAACGCGACCATTTCAGAATATAACACGGTGCACGCGGCGGCGATGGTAAATTTCCAAATGGAATATATGGTTTCACACTTATGTTGAGGAGGAGAAATAGAAAGGGTGGAAATGTCTCTGTTCGGGCAACAAAGAAAGATGGTCATCTTGTGCAAGAACACACATACCAGCAGTTTTTTTTTGACAGCATGCCAGCAGGTGTTTGTTACACGTCCTTCTCTCCAACAAAAGAGAACATCTTTTTGGGGCAAAAATTGTTTTCATTACAGAAAATAGAAGCTTTTGGGCGAAAACAAGGAAAAAGACCATAAGCATTCATCAACACTGTTGTGCAGCCTATGCAAAAACTCAACCAAGCATGTCAAATCGTGGTAGATGGCATGTTTTTCCATGTGTGCAACTTATTGTTCGGAAAAGTATATACTTATAGCAGAAAAAATGTATTGCAGCAATCTACCCCTCCCTCAAAGCTATATGTGCACCCTCAGTGTCTCGACTAATTCTTATATTGTGCCGTTGCAGGGCGGGATGTAAATAATATACTCTCTTTGTAAACAAATGTAGGACGTTTTTGCAGTTTAAAACTGTAAAAACATCTTTTATTTGTGTAGAGAGGTAGTATCATCTTAATACCCTTTGTTGGAAAAATTCTTGATTTGGTATGCTATATGTGCTGGGTGTGCCTCAAAGCTACATATTCAGGCTACCTTAATTCAGTATGTCTGCCTATTAAATATTCGTAAGTTATATCAGAGAAATAATCGATTAAGCATGTCTTACGTGGTTGTTCTTGAACTGATTGTTGGTCCTGGCTGTTGATGTAGAGGAAGAGGGCTTGATCAAGTTCTGCCAAGTCCTCGTATCCGCCAGGGTCCTTTCTGCTGCACTTGCACAAATTAATACAGCGGAATATTACGAAAAGATTATCATGGCTATCATTGCTAATTAATTGTGGCTCGCATATCTGTTTTTTAAGGTCCCAATGAGAGAATCATCACTTCAAGGAAGAAGATAAAACAAAAGAGGAAATGCTTGAATAAATTAAACTTTGAGATTCTTATTGAACATATCCATGAGAAGTGTTCTCTTACAAGATGAACAAGAAATGATACTTTCAACGCAATTCTTAGAACTTTTTTTTTTTCGAGAATGTAATTCTTAGAACTTAAAAGGCAATATGAAAACTGGAGAGAAATGCTTAAATTCTTGAGAGAGAGAGAGAGAGAGAGAGAGAGAGAGAGAGAGAGAGAGAGAGAGAGAGAGGATGAAAGTTTATTATGGTAGCAAGTCGGGCTAATTAGCTGCACCATCGCCTTCTTTACATTTGGACCAAACAACATCAAAATAAGTCAATATATACACGTGCAGAGACTCTGAAACATCATCTTCAAACTAAGATGCTAACTTCATGCTTAAGCCTTCAGATAAGTTATTTACTTGTTTGTGAAAGACCAACTTATGCATCATAACTAATACACGAGAATAACTCCAAAAGCTTAAGAAAAAACAGAAAAGAAAATATTATCAAGGTGAAAAACATCAAGAAAAGAGCTCTAATTACTTGTCACGAAGAAAACAAGAACATTTCCATGGTGTTAGGGACTTAGGGTTTACATGATGCTTCCATGGATGGACGAGGTAGCAGCGGTAGAAGCTTGGATCATCTCGGCGTGGGCTGAACAAGAAGCCTGCTCATGCGGCTGTTGCCATGGCCTATCCCCCATGCAAACACCTCCCAGTATCAATCAACTCTATAAGCTTGATATATCTTCTCAATCAGCTCAAGAAGCAGCTCCAGCACCTGTTCTTCACATCTGAAGTCGGATTAATCCAGCAGATCAGGATAATCACCGATAATCGCACACTGCCGCAATCCGATCCTTTTTCCGTAACTTTCCCCCTTGTTCCTAGCTATGGCTGGATTCGTTAGCTTCTTCTGACCGGAAGCTGGCAAAGGATAGAAGATGACTTGTATAGCCTGAGGTGGAGTGCGTGTACAAGAAATATAAGGGAGTGGTTGCAAACCTTGGAAAAAGGTAGACAATAATTAGACTTTTATAAAAAGGGAAGAATACGATGTGTGATTAGATCGAGCCGAGTCGGTAGCAAGGACGACTTGTTTTTTATGCACTTGCTATGTCAAATGTTTGGAATTCATAGATGAGTACTAGTGGATTACTATTTAAATGGTGATTGGTTTTTTTACGGAAGTGACGAAGAAACTAAACTGCATGCATCCACCCGTTTTATTCGACTTATTATTTTGTCAAGATTTAGGTTGGGATTAGTTGAGTTTTGGAGCATAATTAGGTTCTGTGCATCAGCAATAGGATGGGACCGACCATAAATATTTGGGCTATGGAGATGTACTAATTGAGTTTGTGTGCATATTCTTAGTACATAGGTCAATAACATGTTCTCTTCTTTTCTTCGGCTGGTAGTAAAATGTTCACTTCCATAATAAAAGGAAAATACGTAATGAAAGGACTATTTTGTTTTCTCTATCAGCATATTTATATATCTCTATATAACAAGTGATGTGTGATTGATCAAGGGTTTAATGGAAAAAGTTGAGGACTACATGGATAACTTATAAAACGTCGAACTTCTCTAACTAGAAGCAATTTAACTAGTTCACCGTAAGGCATTGCGATGTATTTTTGTCAATGCACCGTTTAAATTTTGAACTTATTAGTAATTGTTGTTGTTATAGAAACAACTTCTGACAAGGGATAGCCTTTGCAACATGGTTAGTGATGAGTAGACGGGGTACGTATGGCGGCCTTATAGTGAGCGTATCTAGCAGATCCTGAAGACCTGGATTTTCCTCTCTAGCCAGGTCTTCAGAATCTGCATCCCTCCGAGGCTGGAGTCTTGGAGTCGGTAGATCTCTTGCACAAGGAGTCCAGTTTTCTTGACCAGGTTTGTCTCCAGCTCCAGGACTTCAGCTCCTACGGAAGCGAACTCTTGAAAGGAGGAATGCCGACTGCATCAGCCCCCGTCAGGAGGTCCGGGGCATAAAACCAGCCATGATTTTGTCATCTCGGGCATTGGGATGTCAAAGTATCACGATCCAACTGAGGTCGGATGACAGCCCCTCCACAGTCAGGAATTGCGTCACCATCCCTTTGCAGCTCCACCTCAATAAAGTATCACCAAACCTGATGCGGAGCATCCCACTTTCACCCCCATGTACACTCCGACTACTCTCCAAGCCCCAAGGATACATAAGATGAGACCTCGACTATGCGCCATTGGACACAAGGTGAATTCACTCCTCTTCGAACCATCACTTTGCACGTGTGAGACATGGCTACTACCTCATGCATGGACCTTGCCTATACTCAGGTACAACCGAGATGACCATGGAGAATCAAAGGACAAAGGCCAAGCATGGAAGAGGAGAAGGAAGAAGAGCCAGCTGCTACAGGCCCCGGACATCTGGCCCCAGCCCGGACATCCGGCCCTTCCCGCAAGCCCGGACATCCGGCCACAACCCGGACATCCGGCGCCCATCATAGAACGTGTCCAGAAGCTGAACCCCGTCAGCTCGGACATCCGGCCAGAGGCCCGGACATCCGGCTCTTCCCGAGCCGCCGGACATCCGGCCCCCAGCTCGGACATCCGGACCCCGCCTGTCCAGAGAGCAACCGCAGGGCACCCAGGCCAGCCCGGACATCCGGCCTGCCAGCCGGGACATCCGGCCCGTCGCGAAGCCCCGGACATCCGGCCCCAGCCCGGACATCCGGCACCTGCCTGTGCGCAGAGAACGGGCCAAGGGCCCATGTATCCCCCTCTCACTTACCCCTTCGTGGGCTAGCATTATATATACTCCCCCACCTCCTCCTAGTTAGGGTTAGCGTTGATTTAGCTCATTTGTGAGATAGAGCCTCGCTCATCCATCGGATCTCCTCCTCGTGAGAGACCGCGGCCTCTTCGGAGAAGATCCACTTGGATTCAAGACCCCTTTACGGGAAGATCCCCTCGTGGATTCAAGACCTCCTCTCGGAGAAGAACGGTTACTCTTGTATCTTCCCTTTGTTGATTTTGAATCTTGTGCCACCTCATGTGTTCGGTGATCTAGCCCTTGTGTGATCAATTACTTGTCGGTTGAGTGATTCTCTCATTTCTCCCCGTGTTTTCCCTCGTGATTCCGCGCGTTCTTCGTGTTTCCCAGTAGGATCCACTCCAAACGTGAAAGATCGGCCCCTAGTGTTCCGCCCTACATCATCTTGATATCATGAGCCACGTTGATCACGTTTTTGGAGCCCCTACCCCTCTTTCTCTAGCTTGATTTTGTTGATTTCGTCCTAAATCCGAAAATCCCCACCAAAAATAGCCCCCAATTTTTTTTTGTGATTTGTTGGTTTGATGATGTTTTGTTGATTTTGATCCATGGATTTGCTTGGTTTCAAGTGGATCTAGCATCTCCCCAAGTTTCCCCATCTTTCATCTACAAAATCTCTCCAATTTTGCCCTCGAAATCATCAATTTCCGCCCCAAAATCGAGTTCCTCGAGTTCATCCTCGGATTTGAAGCCCGGACATCCGGCCGAAGCCCCGGACCTCCGTCCATCCCGGAAATCCGGCCAATAGCCTGGACATCCGGCTCCTGGAGCGCATTTTCGCGCGGTTCTGGACATCAGGTCCCGGAAATCCGGCCCGAGCCCCGGATGTCCGGCCCCTGTCATTTCAGATTTTCCCGTTTCACTGTTTTGCCCATAACTAATTCATCCGGAGTCCGATTTTGACGTTCTTTAGCTCGTTTTGAAGCTCTTGACATCCCCCTTCCCACAAAAATACCACCAACATCATTTGACTCCATCAAATTTTTGAAAATTTGGCAAGTTTGCCTAGGCCCTCCACCATATCATCCGCATAGCCACCACCGACTTCCGCAACCTAACCCATTTTGTTCCCCATAGCATTTGAGGTTGTTTGAGTAGTGACTTGAGTCTCCTAAGGTGTTTCGGCTACTTAGGGACGGTTGCTTCTTCATCAACCACCACCACCACTTTCGCATAGACGTGCTCACCATACATTTCCACCCCAACTTAACCCAATTTTGTTTGAGTTATGGCTTGTGTCTCCTAAGGTGTTTAGGCTACTTAGGGACGACAACTTCAACTTCGACTCGTGTATAGCCCATCATTTCACTTCCACATTGCCAAGTGCAAACCACCACCGCTTTCCGCTACCACCATTTTAACATTTGATGTTTGAGATTTTGAGTTCGCGGTTTTTCCGTTTCCTAAGGTGTTTCGGCTACTTAGGGACGAGACTCCATCATCTTGGTTTCTACATCAAGAACACCGCCACTCATCATCGCCGGACGGTAACCTCCATATCATCTTGGTATCGTGGTACCCCTCCATTGTATATTCCCCTTCCATTGCATTGTTAACCCCTAGCCCATTTTGCGTTACTTGCCTATCGAGACTAGCCATTTGAGTATTGCCGGCAACGTTACTTATGCACATTAGTGATCATACTTCCCATAGCATACATACCATATCATCGTGGTGCATATATTGGTATCATATCTTGTGTCACAAGTTTGTTCCCGCATATACACAATTACTATCTTGGTTTGTGCATTGTGCAAAGCGGCCATAAAAAAAAGAAAAGAGAATATGCTTTTAAGAAAAAGAGAAAGAGAGCAAAGAAGCTTGTAAGCAAGTGCCATAGCATCATACCACATTGCATATAAGATTGTCATATCCGATCATCTTGGATCATCTTAAGAGAAACACCGGGAACCATACATACATAGCATACTTGGGATAGAAGTTTATACATTTTGCATCTTATAGGTTGTGCACAAGTGTCGTATCCGCCTATTGAGCAATCGTGCTAGCGTCTCTCTTGAGTTGCGCAACACGAGCGTTTTCCGTGGATTCCACATTTTGTGCTCATTCCTTGGTTGCACGACCCCATTTATCTATCCATGTGTGCGTTTCCGTGTGCCATCCATAGTGCTATTGGTCTACTTGTTTCGCTTGCGAATTTGTGAATCTCTTTCAACGTTATTGACTCTTGCTAACATTTTGCATTAAATTTTTGTGTCATTATCCTCACCGAGCTCCACCATAAGCTTTACTTGTGTAGGTGTGAGAACCGACAAGGATTGGTACCAATAGTGCTATTTCATTGTCCGCATTTGAGTGAACTTGATTCATTGTCAACATCGGTCAAGGTACATTGGTATAAGTTCTTCTCTTTCTCCCACTCATATTTGCTCGAGTCTTGTGATGGATAGGCAAGGCATTTCCTCTCCGGTCTACGACAACAACGACGGCGTGAACAACTACATCAACAAAGCGTCCATCTTTGATCTACAATGACAAATACAAGGCACACAATCAAGATTGCGAGAGCGCATCGAGAACATCTCCATCGACATTCGTCACTCCGAAGCAAGGAAAAGGGACTACATCGACAAGAAGCTTTCCGCACATAAAGAGGAACAAGATGCAAGGATGGAGGAGATTAGAGCCTTGATCAAGTCTTCTTCCCCTTTGTCATCTTCAAGGCGGCGACATTCAAGCCACAAGTCTTCGGAGCGCGGAAACGATGCAAGTGCAAATCGTCCTTGTCCACATCTACATGGCGACCACCATCACATTCGTGATCCACATCGTCATGAAGGGCAAGTCACCTCCAAGGAACATGTGCACGACGACGACGAACGACATCTACTACGAGCTCAAGCATGACAACGACAT